AGTTTTATATTATAATTAATATATAATTAAAGGTTAAAAATTAAAACTATTTTAAGAAATAAAATAGGATAATAAAATTAATATAAAAAAAAAGTATAAAAGAGATAGCTAGGAATAAAGCTAATAATTATATAATTAATCTAATTATTACTTTAGAATAGGAATAACTTTATAGGGAGTATTAATAGTATTAACTAAAAAGGGGGTATAAGATAGTAATTAACTAAGCCTAAGTCTAAGGCCTAAATCCTAGCCTAAATCCCACCTTTATATAAGGGGTTAGCTACACCACTTTATAGCTAGGCGCACCTAGCGCTCATAGCTAGATTAATCAAGCCACTTCACACACTAGACACCATTAATGCGATACACCTACGTAAGCTTCTCGCTCGGTTCAATATCACTTGTCCCATGTTCCAAGCGGTTCATCCAATCCCGAGTACATGCCAAATCCCTCGCGGACTAAACCCACCAAATAAATGGCCTGCGGAAGCATTTCACAACTTTGATGGCCCGCGGCCCGCCTACTTCATACGCATGTGTCAGCAAGTATTATATTCGGTCTCTTCCATGAGCCCACGATTACAGGCGAACCTTGCAGATCCTGTTTACCAAGAGAAAAATACCGAAAAGCTCGGCAACAGATTCCTGAAAGGGAAAGGGCCCTCAGGCTTGGCCAGGCTTCGCGCCCCCTGTTTTGAAGGCATGAAATACTCGAGCCTTACATTGAGACGGCCTCGCGATGCTCCGTAGTGACCGAGTGTAACCGACTCGGTGCGAAGATGAATCCGAGTAATGAATAGTAACTACGTCTAAGTTGATCGTTCTATTGTGACATGATCCCTTCGAAGTCTGAGTCTTCTGAATGCCACATCCCGCGCCTCTTGTATCGCGTTCGTTTCCAGAAAACTGACAGGCTTTCATTCTGAAAAGTCTAGTCTCGATTGCGCCACGAGAGATTGTAATTCAGACGTCAACACTCAGCAAAAATCATGGGCTTCAAGGTGATCATCGTTGGCGGCAGCGTTGCCGGTCTCACTTTGGCGAACATCTTGGAGAGGCTCGGTGTCGACTTCACTCTGCTTGAGGCGTACCCCGAAATCGCGCCCCAGGTTGGAGCGAGTATTGGTCTTTTGCCAAACGGCTTCCGGATTCTCGACCAGATCCAGTGTTATGAGCCCATCCGAGAGATTGCAGGTGATTTCTACCTACAGGCGAGCTACCGTGACTCGAACGGAAAGGCCACGACTGTACCTAGCACCGGCGTAACTCACCACCTGGAAGCACGGTATGTAGCCCACGCCAGCAAGAATATCCAAGGGGAATGACTGCCTTGGCGATTTTGCTCACGACGGTAAAGGACTGGGTATCCCTCCATCTTTATCGACAGACAGATGCTCATCCAAGTTCTGTATGACAACCTCAAGCAAAAAGACAAAGTGAACCCATCCAAGAGGGTCAACAAGATCGACCTATCCGAGAAGGGCGTCACTGTCCACACCACTGACGGCTCAATCTATGAGGGCGACATCGTTGTCGGTGCAGACGGCATACACAGCACTGTCAGAAGCGAGATGTGGCGCATTGGTATCAAAGAAACTCCTGGATATTTCCCGCACGACGAGCAGTCCAGTAAGTCTATGAGATTCTCTGGGACATTGAGCCAAGAGGATATTAGCATCCGAGAATATGATCTTTTCGCGCCGTGGGCATAACACTAACAAGCCTCTTCTGCTTCTTTTCAGGAGTACCCGTTGATACGAGATGCATTTTCGGCATATCCAAGCGACCCGCAAACCTGCCTGCAGGCCGTCAAATCACGGCCTACAACGACGGCTGGAGTTACCTCATCGTCGACGCGCCGGGCAACCGCACGTACTGGTTCCTTTTCGAAGGTGTTGGCGAAACCAAGCGCGGCAAAGACATCCCCAGATATACAAAGCAGGACACAGAGAAACTGGCTCTGGCACATATGTCGGATCGATTATACGATGAGGTGACGTTCGGCGACATTTACAAGAACAAAATCATGGCCACATTGGTGCCTCTCGAGGAGTATGTATTCGAGAAATGGCACTACAAGCGCATCGTGTGCATTGGAGACGCCAGTCACAAGGTTCGTCTCAGACATTAGAGTCTGTCAAACTTGAGGCCCGTGGGGACTAACAGCGACCGTGGTTTTAGATCGACCCGGTCTCCGGCCAGGGAGGCAATGGCGCCATAGAAGCGGCCGCGCTTCTTGGAAATGCTATTGTCGAGTTGCTTGAGAAGTATCCGGATGTTGAACAACTTTCCACTGATTTGGTGGAGGGTACCGTCGCCCAAGTTCACGCAATCCGTTACCAGCGGGCGAAGAAGCTGGTCTCCGAAGGCCACAACCTCCAGCAGATCTTGACGGGCAGATCGCCCTTCTCCAAAATCGTAACGCAGTACCTGGTTCCTATTCTGAAAGAGGACGGGTTCCTCAATGTTGCGCTCCCGATCTTCAAAGCCGGCCCTCGAGTCGAGAAACTTGCGATGCCCAAGAGAGCTCGGCTTGTTCCCTTTGACGACGAACTCCCCGCAAAGCCCATAACAGCGAGAGCCGCGTTGAGAGTGGCAACGATCCTCTCTGCAGGGTCGTTTGCGGCACTGCTGTACCACTCTGGTGGACTGGCCTACTTCTCCACGTTCAAGGGTATAATGCAGTCGCAGACTAAGCTGTTCTTGGCTGCTAGTGCCGCCGGTTGGTCTGCGAGACTCTCGCCTTACGACGCCTCGAGACGAAGCCCATTCCATGGCCTCCACCTTGGGGTTGGTGGTCTGTTCTCCACTCTCACTTTGTCGCTCGTCGAAGGGCACCGCGTGGGTAACAGGCTTTCCGTTCTCCTGTGGTACGTAAAGTAACTCAACGTCCTAGAACCCTGTCTGACATTCTCTACAGGCCGACGGTAGGGGGTCTCGCGTACACAGCTTTTGGTCCGGACGCCGTGGCTCCTCTATTGGGCTTAGGCATGGTTCTTCAAGGGTCCAGCACTCTTTACGGAAGACATGTTCCTCCAAGATATGCTAAGTCAATCCTGCCCTCGGTTGTCACAGGCCTCCTGGTGCCTGGCGTCATTGCAGCTTTGCCGGTTCAAAACGTTCATATCCGACAAGCAGCTGAAGCACTTGTAGCGTTTTCGCCTGTTGTGTGTTCGCTTCTTACAGAATGCTTGTCTGCAGTTTTTCAAAAGATCGCCGGCGGAGCAAAACCTGCAAATGTCACGAAAGAACCGTCGTACAACGAAAGAGAAGATTTTGTGGCGATGTACCAGCAGCAGGATGTACCTGCGCTGAAGTTTACGTACGCTTGTGCCGCAGGATTATGCGGTGCGGTCCGCGTTGCTGGCATGGCTTATTCAAGATTGGACGCTGCGGGTTCTGTGGAAAATTCTGCAGGACCTTTGGCCAGACATTTTGATCTCTTTGGCCTAGCCTCTGTAGCCCTCACTTGGCACAACATCTGGACGATGAGATCCGAGGGGTTCATCACAACGAAGAAGGCAGTGCTTGCTGCGTTGGTGTCGGCCACTGGCTCTATTTTCTTGGGACCAGGGGCGGGACTGGCCGCCACTTCCTACTGGCGCGAGACAGTGATGGCGAACCTGAGCGATGGAGAATTTTGATAGATTGTATATTTCGGCTAGACACATTCCCTCTCGCAATACGTACTTCTGATGACCTGTGGGAAAGCCTCCTTGGGAGGGTAAGAATGATACCGACTGCGTGGAAACATGCCTAAGTTTCGCACTTAGAGTGGTGTACATGTAGGCATCCTCGTCCTTTGGCGGGCTTGTAACTGACTCTTGGCCCAGTAGTGTGCCACACCCACCTACAGTGGTTCGTCGAAGACTACACGTACAGGGAACTGTCTTAGCACACAAACCCACGTGAAAAGTCGCGTCATGCTTTCTTTCGTCTTTGATATCATTGGCATGACTGGATGTAGGGTTTGTAGATCGGATACGCCCCAGGTTACATCAACCATGGAGACATGCGTTGGCAAGCGGTAGGCGTCTCTAGACTGTGTCGCCTGGTTTGAGTCAGTCAGATATTCGCATCAGTCTCGCTTATGTACAGGGTAAATGTAGCTGCCTACATAACTGACGAGGACAAACCTGCAACAGGTTGGCTCTTTAGGAGGGTTCTTCCTAAGTCTAATTAACTATCATCACATTCTCTCTGGCAGGGATGTAAGGGACGGGCATTGAGACCGCCCGTCAGATCCTAGTTTCCCATCAGTCTCGGCCATCTCATTCTGTCAAGCGAAGAAGAATTCTCGGGCTGTCTCCTGTTCACATCTGAATCCTTGTTTTCTGAACCCCACTTAGATGCCCCGGCATTTGCATAGCTCACAGCTCACTGCGGCGGCTCGGACAAAACCCACGCACTGTACGGGCGGGATGATGGTCAATGTTCAAAAAGTCTACTGACTTGGAAAGAAAAGCTAAGGAGACGGACATCGGCTTTGCCGGCCTTCGCCGGCCTTCACCGGAAGTCAGTGACTTCCAAAGGGGGCCGAGCGAGAAAATTCCCGCCGACTCATAGGCCGGGTGCCAAAGTCAAATATCCAGGGATTGCAATTGCAAAGCACAATGATCACAGCACAGTTTTTACCGTGGTACATCTCTTCCGTATCATGACCTACACTCTCGCAGAGACGACGGGCGCTTTGACCGCTGCCGTCGTAAGCGTTGTCTCTTTACTTCTTCTCCTCTATCAGTGGGCTCTACCGAAACCTCTTCCAGGCATACCGTTCAATAAGGATGCAGCGAGATCAATCTCCGGCGATGCGCCAGAGTAGCAAAGGTTGCAGGAGCAGGGCAAGAGGCCGCGCGCCTGGTTCCTTCAGCAGAACACAAAGCATAAAAGCCCCCTCGTCCGAGCTTTCGTAGCTCCGCTCTCACAGCCGATGCTTCTGCTGTCAGACTTCCGCGAGGCTCAAGATATACTTCTCCGAAGAAACAAGGAATTCGATCATGGCGAGCGGAATCTTGCTGCGTTTCGCGGGGTTCTCGGAAACCATCACATTGGAATGCGAACTCGGGATCCTCAATTTCAAAGCCAATCGAGAGTTGGTGAAGGATCTCATGACCCCAAATTTTCTCAATACCGTAAGTAAGACCTGGGAGGTATGTTTCCCAAGCGGAGGCTAACAAGGAATCTCAAAGGTATCTGCTCCAGCAATATACTCCAACACTTTGAGGCTTGTCGAGTTGTGGAAGTTGAAAGCCAAAAAGGCCGGCGGCCTGCCCTTCCAAGCTGACAAAGACATCAACATGGCCACTTTCGATATCATCAAAGAAGTTGCCCTCGGCGAGGGAGACTCCGAGAACACAACCGAGGCTTACATCAAAATCATTCACCAACCTGGCGCGCAAACCTAACGCAAGCGGGGGAATCGAATTCCCCGACCAACCCCCTGACGAAGACCTCGTTTCGCACCACGCTCATCAGGAGGCTGTCGGGGCGTCTTTGACAGCACCATCTCCTTGGTTGTACCATGTGATCAACAACCGTCGACGCCACATGAAAGAGGCATACGCCATCAGAAAGCGGATGTTGGAGAACCAGGTCTCTCTGGCTGTTAAGCGGCTTGAGGGAGGCCAGCCGGTCCGGTCTGCTTTGGACTACATGATCCAGCGCGAAATGAACGCTGCCAAGAAGGCTGGCCGACTACCCACTTTCGACTCTTCCCAACTCCGTGACGAGCTCTACGGCTACATTGGTGCAGGCCACGAGACGACCTCGACCTCTTTCCAATGGGCAATCAAGCACCTGACAGCTCACCAAAATGTCCAGCAGAAGCTTCGGCGGGCTTTGCGACTGGCCTTCGCCGAGCCTGCCGCCCAATCAAGACAGCCTTCGGTTTCCGAAATCGCAAAAGTCGACGTGCCGTATCTGGAGGCAGTCATGGAAGAGTCTTTGCGGTTGTCTGGGCCGATCATGGGTGTCGTGAGACAGGCACAAGTAGAAACCACGATCTTGGGTCATAGAATACCCAAAGGAACAGAAGTTTTTATTCCGTTGTGTGGCTCAAGCATCACCCAAGCACCTATCGAAGTTGACGAATCGTTGCGAAGCGAAACCTCTAGATCTCGGCCAAATGTTCGTGGCTCGTGGGAGGTCAATCCGGAATCGTTTGTACCTGAGCGATGGCTGAAGCCGGGAACCAATGGCGACGAATTTGACCCTAAGGCTGGACCTTTCATGAGCGGCGTGCGGGGATGCTTTGGGCGACGGCTGGCGTACATCGAGTTCAGAATCCTTGTGGTTCTGACGGTATGAAACCTGGAGCTCTGTCTAGTTCCCGATAATTTGCAAACGTTTGATGCTGTGGATAGTCTGATGACCAAACCAGCCAATTGCTACGTGAATATTTCTGAGGCTAAAAGCTAGAGTCCAGTCGGGGGCACATATACCCATGCGGCAATTGTAGAATCAGAGCTTCGAGAAGCTGTGTGCATACCTGCGTCGAAGATTATTTGTTTTTGTAGTTTTCTCGTTTTGTTGCATACGTTTGTAATTGAAAAACAACTCTTCTCTACAATATTGTGATCGTGACTATCAGCAATGTTGAAGAACATGAATTGATCAACTTATAGTCCATTTACGGCTGCAAATGTGAAATGGCAATCAACCATCCACACACCTAGAGGTTGCCCACACCAGCACTTGCTAATGAGTACATCAACCTAGTCCACACGCGAACAAGGTTTCATTCGATAAGACCACAGACGAACGCTGGGCCTGTAGAGTGATCCCAGCAGGTCGACACAATCTTGGGCCATTTTTACCCAGGGCCCGCAGCAGGACCTCCACCAAGCAATCGAGCGTCACTCGAGTGACAAAAAGTCCCGTATCGCCTGTTAGACCTCAGTAAATGCTGACCAAACGAACCAGGCCACTGAATTCCTGTGCAAAATCTGTTGTCTTCGAAAACATCTTTCTTTCATGTTGCTTCGATTTCCATAAACTTGTGTCTTCCCCGAGACGTAGAATGTCTTTTGCGATAGACTGGCCCATTCCCGCGTTAACACCATGTGACTTACAGCGTCGGTCACTCAAGTGAAACTATCGTGACGGATACTCGACAACAGTGCTTGGCAAATAGCAAACAACGCATGGAAACCCCGCAATTCTGGTGGTCAATACTCCATTTAGATGTGAATCCACGGCCTCGGTATTTTCGGGGGAAAGGTTGCTGGTGAAGGCCGACTCTCCCTTCGCGTTGATGGAAGCGCGAGGAGCGAGTCCATGGGGAACCTCGCCCCAAGGAAGGGTTCCCACTGAGTATGCAATAGAATCATGTTTACTCTTGCCTGCGAGGGCAACGATATATAAGCCTTCGCAGGTTGAATGTTCCTATGCAACGGAACTTGCGAAACATCTCATCCTCCATCTCAACTCCGCAAACCCTAACATTGACAAACTACCTTCCCTTCACCATGTCCCGAAAGTATCTCATCACCGGCGGCCACGTAGTCACGCTAGACGACTCCCTCGGCGACTTCGAAAACGGCGCCGTCCTAGTCGAAGACGGCATCATCATAGCCGTCGGCAGGGCGCAAGACATCTCCGCACCAGCAGACGCCGAGATCATCGACGCCTCCGAGGGCGTCGTCATCCCCGGCATGGTTGATACCCACCGCCACGTCTCCATGAGCCTGACGCGCGGGATCGGCGTGGACCAGCACCTCTGGCACTTCCTGTCCAACACCTACACCCGCTGGCTGCCGGCCACCGGGGTCGACGAGATGTACACATCCGCCCTGGTCGGCTGCCTGGAGGCGATCGAGAGCGGCGTGACGACCATCATGGACACCTGCGAGTCGTTCCACTCCGCCGAGCACGCGGAGGCGGAGCTGCGCGGACTGAAGGACTCTGGGATTCGCGCGTTCTTCTGCTATGGCATGAGCGGAGACCAGTATGGACAGACTCCCGCGGGACGCAGTGGTTGGAGCGCTCGTCTGGCTCACATCAAGGAGATGGCGAAGAGAGGCGCGAACGACGGGCTTGTCCGCGTAGCGCTGCAACTGAGCCAGTCGGGCACGACTCCGTTCTCCTGGATGGGCGATGAACTGAAGCTCGCCGAGGAGCTGGGGCTTCTCTGCTGCTCCCACTCCAGTGCCGTTCCTGCCTCCAACCTCACGAGTGACTTGGAAGTCCGCGCGGACATGGGCTATATGCTGCCTGGGCATGTGTACATCCACTGCACGAACCTGTCAGACCACGAGATGGGCCTCGTCGCGAAGACGGGAGGTAAAATCGCCCTTGCCACCGAGACCGATATCCAGATGGGAATGGGGTTTCCCCCGCTGAGGATGGCCTTGGCTCACGGTTTGAAGCCGTCTCTCAGCATCGACACGTCGAGCGCCGCGGCGCCAGATCTGCTCTCGCAGATGCGGCTTCAGCTGCAGCTACAGCGCAGTCTGGACCACCATGCAGCTCACCTCGAACACCGCGTTTCCATGAAGATGGACTTTGGCGTTCGGGACGCTCTGATATGGGGAACGAGGAACGGCGCCGAGGCCGTTGGTCTCGGCGACCAAATCGGCACCCTCACCCCGGGGAAACGAGCCGACATCGTCGTCATCACGAGCAAACGAGCCCTCAGTGGCTCGGCTTTCCCGCTGGGTACAGCTGTTCTGCACTCGAGCCCGGCAGATGTTGATCTTGTCATGGTAGACGGACGGATTCTGAAACGAGATGGTGCCTTGGTGGGGATTGATGTTGACGCCATTCGCGCGAGGGCGAGAGAGGGAATGAGACGTATCCAGGACAATTTAAAGAATCTCAGGCCGGAAATGAGCCCCGAGGAGATTCGAAAGTTCTTTCTTCAAGGAGAAAAGGCGCACCGCGTCAATGTTGCAAACGCCTACGCTCAAGGAGGCGAGGTGTCGGACTACCTGAGGTCATAGTAGCAGACTACTTGGACTGTGCTAATGTTGCGGCGGAACTGAGGGCTCTCTGAGAGTTCTTTAGACTCGCTTTATCATAACTTGTGGATAGACCTTGTCAGCTACCTATTTTATGCCAACTCTGTCTTGAGAACTGGTCTTTAAACTCCGTTCGGACCCGCTACGTCCTGATTCTCCAGTGTTTGTTCGTTTAGTGAGCCATCAGTCGCATAGACAGCGCCCCGGTCCATTTGATCTCGTTTGATCTCGGTAATCCCAATGCGCCCCTCTCAACAAGACCCAGCGCCTGCATACGGCTTTCGCTAAACTAAATCCATAATGTCTTGTAACTCTTGTTTCCCAACTTCGTTCAATATCCGCCGCTAATTTGGCACCCGCGACTCTTCATATCTTCAATTGGCTTTCATGGCCGGTACTCAAGCACGTAGCGCCTCTCCACCTGATGCGTAGTCGATGAATCGTTTTCGCCATGAAACTTGAGGTTGACCGTCTTTCCGTCGGCCTCTGTACCGACGACATCCGCCGCGTAAAATGCTGTCGTCTGCGGATACAAGCCGAGGACCATTTTGCCTGCCTCTAGCTTGGCGAGGTTGTGCGTCTGGTTCTCTGGCGGGATCGGTATCATGCCCGACGCAAACGTCTTGTACTCCTTCGGCTTGACGTTGTCCTCCGGCTCCACGTCCAAGCACTTGTATCGTCTGCTCTTGCCCTCGCCGATGATGCCAACCACCTCGCCCAATATCCAGTCGTACGGCGCCTCACCCTGTTGAGGCTCGTCCTTCTTGCGCTTGAAAGCTACCTTGTCTCCTTTCGAGAACGAGATTTTGCTTCTAGCCGCCGCCGCATTTGATCCGAGGGCCCCCGAGGAGGAGCCCGCCGTATTGCTGCCGGTCGAACCTTGTGGCTCGACACTATCTGCCTTGGGTGGCATACTGTCGCGGTTGCTACCGCGATCACCAAATTTGCGTGAGCTGCCACCAATGGGGCTGGGTACTGGCGAGTCTCCAGCACCGTCAAAGTCGTAGAGCGCCGCGGCAGCAGCATCTCTGTTTCGTGTTGAGCTGCCTGTCCGAGATGACGACGTAGTTGTTGCAGGTGCCTCCGCAAGCTCCTTGGCCTGCTGCACAGCCTTCAGAATCTTAAGCTGCTCGACCAGGGTCTTGATGTTGTTTGAGTTGTTTTCCGAGAGCTTAACTCCGGACCGACAGAACTGCTCCATCTTGTTAAGGTCGTTGCCCGAGGGGTTTCCGCCGTCCTTGCTCGCACTGGCCGCCTTCTTATCCAGCTTGATCAGCTCAGCTAGGTTGTCGTTCTCCTGGTTGACACCGGTGACAATCTCTTGAAACTTGTCCTTGGCGTCATTCCACAGCTGAATCTCTTCGCCGTGGCCGCTGCCATTGTTGCGGTTCGAGCCACGGCCACTACGGTTTCTTTGCGACATCTTGGCCTGAAGAGAAGAGGCCGGGCCAGGTCGCTTATCCTTCGCGATACCCTTCTTCTAACCGGGTTTCTGAGGAAAGGCCTCGCCCGTAGATACTTTCGTCTTGTCCTTGGTCGTTTTCGCCTTGGCCAGTGTTGGCTTCGCCTCTGCCTGGATTGTTTTCGCCTCGACTTGGGATGGATCGGCGTCGGCGGTAGGGGGGTCCGTCTTCCTGGTGCTCAGGCTCGACTGGCGTGCGCCTGAAAGCGGCTTTCGCGGCGCCTTTCCTTTAATCTTTCTCGGCATCTTGATGTCAGTCTCGGCATACAATGTTCGACAATAGATCTATGAGCGCAGAAGGTGATGAAAGGGTGTGGCTTAATGTCAAATAAGTATCCATGGAGAGATGAAGCCGGACGGATGGAGGTGGACTACATCTACAAAGCTTGGCAGAAGCAAGACAACCCATCGCAACTTACAAGGAAGGAGCTGCTTTAGCTCAGGTAAGGCAGGAAGGAGGGGCAACTCCGGCGGCGCAAGTCGGGTCGCGTCAAACAGGCAGGTCCACGGGTAGGCAGGAGCTTCCTTCACAGATAGCAGCAGGTAGGGTATCTCAGTGCAACAAGATGCTATACAAGAAAAATAAATGCACACAGAAATGTCAGCCCATATTTGAGCCTTATAAAATGGCGAGGAATTAAGCTTTTGGCCCAGCCAGGTGTTTGGAGACCATGGCATAGACGCGCGCAAAGGTGGACGGAGGTGATGTCGATGGCAGAATTGCCGGGCGGTATCGGGCAATGCGCTCAGCTTGAGCTTCATTGGTCGCCCGACGCGACAGCTTGTGGCCGCGAATTGCCGAAGTGGGCCCGACAGCTCCTGCTGCTTGTCATAATGGTCCAATCACGCCTCAGCAGGCCACTGAGCACCGTGCGGCCCGATCACTG